TTTGAAATTCATCCGAAATTTGAACCAAAAAATCTTATCCGGAAATTTTATCCGATTATGAATAGTCTTGACACGTAGGAACCCGGAAATCTTATCCGAAAATATTATCTAAATTAATTATTGAGGTAAAAAAAATTTGTAAATAAAACAAAAAAAATGAATAGTAACTGCCCTTGGCCATGGCAACGGGTGGAAATACAAAATACTATTTGCAAAAGCAGCCACTATTCACATGAATAGTGGCTGCCCTAGCTCTCCCCTTGTCATGGCTAAGGATAAATGGGTGGAGTTGCTCTTAGGGGGTTTAACATGAGTGGAGGACAGAAGCAGAGGATTCAGCTGGCTCGAGCTGTCTATAGTGATGCTGATATCTATCTTCTTGATGACCCCTTTAGTGCAGTGGATGCGATGCACATACTGCTGCAATTTTATTTCATGTAAGAATGGAACATTTAGTAATTTTAAGAAGCATGAAAACTACATTTAGTCTCATTGTAGAAAGATTTCACTCAATTTGAATGGCTCATGCAGGATTGCGTCATGGCCGCCCTAGCAAAGAAAACTGTAATTCTGGTGACTCACCAAGTTGAATTTATCTCAGAAGTTGATAAAATTCTGGTATATTGCTATTACCTCACAGTTCAATTTTATTTGCAACAAACATTCAAACTGTGTTGTTCATGAAACCTTATTTGGTCAGACTAAAAAGGAACAACTATCTTTATAATTTATTTTACAGGTAATGGAGGGTGGACAAGTTACTCAATCTGGAAGCTATGAGAGTCTTTTGACAGTTGGAACAGCATTTGAGCAGCTTGTGAATGCTCATAAAGATGCAGTGACAACATTGGGTCCTTCCAATTATCAAAGCCAAGGAGAATCTGAAGAAGGGGGATATGTTTCGGTGCAAGGAACCTCATGGGGCTTACCTTACTGCAAATAACAGTGAAGGGGATATTTCTGTGAAGGGTATAGCTGGGGTGCAACTAACAGAAGAAGAAGAGAAAGAGATTGGAGATGTTGGATGGAAGCCCTTTTGGGATTATATATTTGTTTCCAGAGGAACACTTCTTCTATGGTTAGGCATAATAGCAGAGTCTTTTTTTAGTAGTCTTCAGGCTGCTGCAACTTATTGGCTAGCTCCAGGCATTCAAATTCCTAAACTCATTGGTGTTTATGCTGCAATTTCAGCACTTACTGCTGTCTTTGTATATCTTAGGTCATTTTTTGCTGCCCATATGGGATTGAAAGCTTCTAGAGCCTTTTACTCTGGTTTCACTGATGCTATCTTCAAGGCTCCCATGCTGTTCTTTGACTCAACTGTAGGGAGGATTTTAATACGAGTAAGTGTACTTGTATATTTCAATTACTTATTTTAGAATTCATTCTTATCTTCATTCAATATTTCCACTTGTGCAGGCTTCATCAGACTTAAGTATTTTGGATTTTGACATACCTTTCTCCATTATCTTTCTTTTGGCTTCTTGTACTGAACTGCTGGTAACGATTGGAATTATGGCTTCTGTCACATGGGAAGTTGTCATTGTAGGCATTCTTGCAATGGTTGCTACAAAATATGTTCAGGTGGATCAGGATATCAGTTTCTTGATAATGGAATGATGGAACTGAATTCTGTGTTTTGTTTCTAGGACTATTATCTAGCCTCTGCAAGGGAACTAATAAGGATCAATGGAACAACCAAAGCTCCTGTTATGAACTATGCATCAGAGACATCACTCGGAGTTGTCACTATAAGAGCCTTTAAGATGGCGGACAGGTTCTTCCACAACTACTTAGAGCTAGTTGACACAGATGCCAGATTGTTCTTTCATTCTAATGCAACGATGGAATGGTTAAATTTAAGGACTGAAACACTTCAGAATCTGACCCTTTTCACAGCTGCTTTTTTCGTTGTTTTACTTCCTAAGGGTTATGTTGCACCAGGTAATTTTAGACAGAAATCCTTGTTTCAAACTAAGGAGTTTGAGGTTGTCTAAAGTTGTTTAACCCTAACCTAATTTCCTGGATGTTGTGCAGGGCTTGTGGGGCTGTCTCTTTCTTATGCTTTATCACTAACAGCAACACAACTTTTTGCAACTCGATGGTATTGCAGCTTATCCAACTACATTATCTCGGTTGAAAGGATAAACCAATTCATGCAAATTGCACCAGAGCCTCCTGCAATTGTGGAGGACAAGAGGCCAGCATCTTCATGGCCTCCGAAGGGTAGGATAGAGCTGCATTCTCTGGAGGTAATATATTCAAAATCATACACTTGAGCTTCCTTACTCAATAAAAAACTGTTCCTTTACGATATTTGATCAGGTTCGAATTCTAACCATTACTTGCTTCTTTTGGTTGGTTAAAGATCAAATATCATCCAAATGCTCCGCTAGTTCTCAAGGGAATTACTTGCACATTCAAAGAAGGCAAGAGAGTAGGAGTTGTGGGAAGAACAGGAAGCGGAAAAACTACACTCATAAGTGCTTTGTTTCGCTTAGTAGAGCCGGCCAGTGGTAAAATCATTATAGATGGACTTGACATCTCCTCTATGGGTCTAAAAGACTTGAGAATGAAGCTCAGCATCATCCCTCAAGAACCAACTCTTTTCAGGGGAAGCATCCGAACCAACTTGGATCCACATGACAAAATATGGAGGGTGAGCAAGAATCAACTCCAGTTCTGATGAAAAGGCTTTTCCTGCCCAATTCTTACATTGTTTGTCAGCAAGTTTTACTAATGCAACCCAGTTAAGGCATTACTTAAATTTATCTCTGTTTTTCTACTAGTAGATTATGGATGAAGTTAATGAGTTTTTCATTGCAGGCTCTAGAAAAGTGTCAGCTCAAGGCAACAGTCAGCAAGCTACCTAGTCTGCTAGACTCATCCGGTAAGTTTATGATGTTTCCAACAAACAAATGAGAAGAAGTGTTCTTAACACCTTACTTAAGCTCCAAGTTTCCATCAAGTCTGATAATGATTCTGTGAAATGAAGAGATCATATTATAATCATACTGTTGTAAAAGTTATAACTACAACGATTTCAACAGTGAGTGATGAAGGGGAAAATTGGAGCGCCGGACAATGCCAGCTCTTTTGCCTTGGCAGAGTCCTTCTCAAGAGGAACAGAATTTTAGTTCTAGATGAGGCTACGGCGTCCATTGATTCTTCGACAGACGCAGTTCTGCAGAGAATCATCAGGCAGGAATTTGCAGAATGCACAGTGATAACTGTAGCTCACATAATTCCAACCGTTATCGACAGTGACATGGTCATGGTCCTTTCCTATGGTAAGCTTTTATACGTTCCAGTTATCTCTTTGTGACAGAATTTCAATCAAAACTGCAGGGCCTGTGACCTTGTGATATTTTTATATGAAGCCTATTGCTAATATGCAGGGTGGTTTAATTTGTTTGTGTATGTTTATAGGGAAGCTGGTGGAGTATGAAGAGCCTTCAAAGCTCTTGGATACAAACTCCTACTTCTCCAAGCTTGTAGCTGAATATTGGTCAAGCTGCAAGAGAAACTGATGCCAAAATGTCAACAAGTTTGACAGTATAATAAGAAGCATCAATCTCGACTGAAACCATCCTAATGCTTGGATTGTGGTAATAAAAATCTGAAGGGTTTAAATCTTTATTAGTAACTTCTAGATTAGTTAAGAAACTGTCTGATTGGAAATTGGTGTTTGAAATCTTTTTATTTATTTATATACCATGTAAAATCTTAGAAAAAATCTGGGCCGTCTAATCTTAACTGAAACATCATTTTCTTAGACGTAATGCTTATTTATTTCATCTAAGCCTCATCGAATAAGAAGAGAGAACTCCCTTTTTTTTTTTTTTTTTGGTCACAAATTAAGAGAGAACTCTGGTAATAGATAAATCAGAGCAAACACTCATTTATAGAAAAAAAAGGTATAAAATAAATCCATGACATCGAGCTCAATATATATACTAAACTACCAGTCAACATGGGTGGCGCCATGGTGAGAAAAGAAAGAATAATTTTTTCTTGATAAACAATTTGGCATATTATTTGCAAAATAAATAATAAGACTGTTACTACAACCTGCTAAATATTTGACAAGAAATCAATTTCTTTCCAGAAAATATCATAATCTAATACTAAAATAAATTAAACACGCATAAATGACCGGTTTATTTCTCAAATCAAATTAATATTCAAAAACTTAACTTCTTTCCATATTCGTGCGTGTGTGTGAGAAATCTCCTCCCCTATAATTTAAACTATCGCTTGTATTGAAAAATAATAATAATCCCACTGATGATCCGAGAAACACAGCTAATACTTGGACCAACTTGTCATATTCAAGATAAGAAATCATGTATTTTGACACGTACCCACTACCCATTGCTTTTAGGAGAAGAACTTTTGAGTTATCACCTTTCTCCTGAAAAAAACAAATAAAAATCATCTGCAGGGAAAGAACAGTACATGACAATGGAAAAGCAAAAATAGCTAGACAGGGTACATGGTGGGTGGAGAATCCAAGATTGGATCTTTAAAGGAAATAATTACACTAAAAAGAAAATCTAATGAGAGGAAAGCATTTTGAGCATTTCTTTGACTCTATACTTTCTTCAAGTTAGTGGAATGGGAGATGCATTTGTTCTATCTGCATTATTTCTTGCACCTCAGCATATAAATTTTTGGACTACTTACTTTTTGCCAATCATTTTTTAGGTAAGCGCCAACCCGAACTTGAATACTTTCCCTTCAAAAAAAGGTTCACCGACATCCCCATTTCATTATTACAATGGCTTATTCACTTATGTGTTTCATATATATATCTATGAGAGATAATTAGTATATGGCACAGGAAAACACGCTCATGTGTCGTCGCATATGTAAGAGGATAACTTACATGAAACGGATGTACGATACGAGAGGAGCCACATTATTTTTTTGTACTCTTCCATAATACTATGATAGCAACAAACAATCCTTGTCCTCGTCGATTTCAGCTGATTAGGAAAGTTGCCTTCCTTGACTAAAAGAAAAAAGGATCCAAATTCTGTTTTGTATACGCATCAGAGCTAAAACAATGTATAATGTATGATTAAGTTTGAACTTTGAATGGCCTTTTGTTTTGTTGTTTTTATTCTCTTTTTTAATTAAAAGCTGCACAATCCTTTATTTAATGCTTATTATTAGCAAAACAAACAAAAATATGGAATGATCTGAAAGATTAAACAAAAGGGCCTGTTTCTGTAAATGACCATGAGGCTGCTACTTGGCCTGTGTAAGAATTGGAAAGCACATAAATGCAGCAAAGATTTTCAAATATATATTGATCCAATTTTATTGAGGATGCTGCTTGCCTCCTTCACTGTAAGGAGATACTCATCCTTTCTGCAACTCACAGTTTGACACATATTGAAAAATAATTCATCTAAAACACAAAAAGAAAAACTTATGCATATGGCACACTGCTATTGGCAGGCAAGCACAGGAGCTCGTACTTGCATGGGAAGAGGGGAAATTTTTTTGTTT